AAACCATTTCAGGTGACTACCTCTTGAAGCTCATGGAGAGAATGCCAAGAGTGTGCAAAGCAGTAATCAGAGCAAAGGGTGGCTATTTTGAAGAAACTAGAATATAAAACATGTTTTCAGTTATTTCACCTTTTTTTGTTAAGTACATAACTCCACATGTGTTCATTCATAGTTTTGATGCCTTCAGTGAGAATCTACAATGTAAATAGTCATGAAAATAAAGAAAACGCATTGAATGAGAAGGTGTGTCCAAACTTTTGGCCTGTACTGTATGTATATATATATATATATAAACAGAGTAGATCCTAGTGCAAGGAGAGGCTATTTGAGTGCAAGGGCAGGGTTTTTGAACGTGAAATCAATAAATAATGCTCTCAAACTGATAGACCACTCTCTTGATTAAAGTTAGGGATAAAGATCCATAATTTTGTTGCATTGTGATACATGTGAGTGATGAACTGTAATTGCAGCTATTGCATTGTTGTCCAAGACAAATTTTACTCTGGGGATCATAAAGTCTATCCTTATCCTTACTGGCTGGTGCTCAGAGAGAGAGAGAGAGAGAGAGAGAGAGTTACAAATGGCAACAGAGGATTACAGCAGCCAGGATACAGACACACTTTGTTCTCCTGAAACAATATTTACAACTTGGATGAATTCTCATGAAAAACCCTCTTGATTCTTTTGATCAGTGGACCCTTAAGGACGAAAGTAATAAAAATAGGAATGGACACAATATTCCGACTTTATGACTACTTCAGTGGTAAGGAGTCACCACCTTTTTTTTCCCCTCTCTCTTGTTTACAAGGCCAGTAAATCTGAATGGTCTTCCATGGTGCTCATGGTTTTGGTGAAATGAACGGAACAATTGAATTGTGAAAAATCTAACTGAGCTAATGATGTGTGTATCATGTCCATACTGATAAAAGTTTAAATAAAGACTTTTCTGCTGACAAAGCTTTCAGCTAAATTATATTTGCTCAATTTCCTGACAATGTTTTGGGACTATTTTACATTTGTAACAACAGTAGCTACAGGGAAAATTGAATTATGTGAGATGTTAAAATACGTCACACTCAGATGTTCTTATAAAAGCAGCGGTTGTAAGCCTAGAGTATTATAGTAACACATTTACTAAGCTCTCCGATGACCCATAAAAAGACAATAAAGAACAAAATTCTTACAGAGAGCACGCCACAAACATGCCAGGCTCCTGTGTACACCAATGCACGGTATCATCTTCGTTCCTGTGAGCTGCCGTATTGTAGTCAAGCTCACATGAGCTCTGACTATTATACTGTTTCTGTCTCCCCTTTAAAAAAGAAGTGTAGGTCAAAGATAAGAAACATTACAGAGTCACGCCTATTACGTGAAAAAAACATTCATCTGTCCAGTCACTGACCGTCATTACCAATGCTATGAACACCAGCTGTGGGTGTGGTTTGTAGGGCTGTGTGCTCCAGACAGAATGTGTTTTTAGCCATAGGCCATTGGACATAAGATTGTTTTTTCGGAAAAAAAAAGAGCCAGGTTCAGGTAAGAGTGTAAGATCAAATGGTCTATCTATCTAGAATGATGTTGTAAGTCAATGTATCAGTTTATATCTCTTATTAGATATAAAATGCATTGGTTGACAGTACAAAGAGAGAGAGAGAGGAGCAGAGAGAGGACTTTATTTATTAGTATTCTTATTAGTATTCTTGGTATTTTTGGTACTCACTATAGGGGGCTGGTTTAATCCAGAAACATACATACTGTTTATGTGTATGTTGAGGAGCTGCTGTATCAAAATGAGTTGTCTTCCCCCAGACATTAGGGTTACGATATGTTTCTTTTATGATTCCAGTTCATTCTTCTTTTGCTGTGGCTCAGCATTTAAATAACCTTTATCAGATTTGATGGTTTAGCACAGACTTTCCCAAAAAGTGTTGTGCTTTTCTTTCACAAATGTGGGAATGAAATTGAGTTAAAATGTACAAAACAGTGAAATTTATCTTGCCTGGCTCTCTGGGTGCTCAGCACCCCTAAACCTCTGATCCTAGAATCGCCCCTGCTGGATAGTGTGACGTGTGGTTGTGCTGCTGCCGTGGTCCTGCCAGATGCCTCCTGCTGCTGCTGTTATCATTAGTCATACTTCTACTGTTATTATACACATATGATTATTGTCACATATGTATACTATCAGATATTAATATATACTTTCAACGTATTGTACCACAATAGCCGGAATTATAATTATAATATTATTTCATTAATGTTGTTGTAAGCTATTAACATTATCGTCTGTCTTGCATCTCTCTCTGTCTCTCTGTCTCTCTTTCTGTCTCATTGTGTCATGCGGATTACTGTTAATGTATTATGTTGATCTGTTCTGTACGACATCTATTGCACGCCTGTCCGTCCTGGAAGAGGAATCCCTCCTCAGTTGCTCTTCCTGAGGTTACTACCATTTTTTTACCCCCGTTAAAGGTTTTTTTGGGGGAGTTTTTCCTTATCCGCTGCGAGTTTAAGTTTAAGTTTATTTACTTTATTAATCCCCCTGAGGGGAAATTCAATGTTTTCACTCTTGCTTGTCAATTACACACAGATCAGAAAGACACACACATGCACAAACAGGACCTATACAAGCACAAAGTGGAGAGATGTCAGAGTGAGGGGGCTGCCCTTTGGTCAGGCGCCCCGAGCGGTTAGGGGGTTCGGTGCCTTGCTCAAGGGCACCTCGGCAGTGCCCAGGAGGTGAACTGGCACCTCTCCAGCCACCAGTCCGCGCTCCATATTTTTGGTCCGGACGGGGACTCGAACAGGCGACCCTCCGGTTCCCAACCCAAGTCCCGATGGACTGAGCTACTGCCGCTACTGCCGCTGCCACCCCTTAGGGTCCTAAGGACAGAGGGATGTTGTATGCTGTAAAGCCCTGTGAGGGAAATTGTGATTTGTGATACTGGGCTTTATTAATAAAATTGGTTGAAATGATTGATTGACTTTATAAAATAATGGACATAGCCACCATGAAATCACCTATTGGTTTGTGGACTGAGCAATAATTTGGATGAGCACTAATGCTGGTTCACACTGTGCATTTACAGCTATGGTTATCTGTGACAATGCTAATTCTAGATTCTATAGAAAATTAGTCAACAAAACATTTTAATGGTATGAAAGCTATGGCAGTTATACTACAGTGGACCACTTTCTCATCCTTTTAAATCCAGGTAGGTAGGTACTTCTGCATTGGCTTTTTTTTAGCTCAAGAGGTTGCTGCTTGATTTTAACAATGTTGCTTGGCCTCCCCCTGTGCTGCAGCCAGCATCCTAGCTTTAGCTGCTGGACCTCTGCCACCAGACAGGTGGTGAGCTCTGGGCAAAGCCAAACACTGTTCATTTGGACACACTGCAATGACACACAGCTGGTTGTATATTGGCAAAGTTTCCCTGCTGCCCTTCATTGGTCCCTGTAGAGCAGGGTAGGTCTTTATTCAGTGTTATAGGCTAATCATTAAAAAGCAAACGCAGCATGTATATGCAAGCTACCTAGCTAACAGTACACTTTTCCAGGTTTGATTATGGTTTTGGTATGGGGTTGAAATGTTTATCTCCTTTCAACCTCTCCCGGTGATGAGTGACATGCCTCAGGCAAAATGTTTAACTCATAATCCACAAAACCAGCCTGAAAATGAAAGAAATCTGAAACAACTGCATTACAGTCTATAGAGCACAGTCGTGTTGTCTGACCCTTGTTTGAGCCATTGGTGGAATATTAGGGTCCATGTAAACGCACCTAGTGACGACTCTGACCAAGGCAGTTTCAGTGGAATAATAGGACTGAAGGCCAGGTTGAAATTTATCAAAAAGGTTGTTGTTGGGTAAATTGGCAGTAAGTTGATCAGCGTCAGCTGTCTCTAGTAATTCTGACATTTAAGGAAGATTGGAAATTAGTTTAGAACATGTTAGGTCTTTTAAGCAGCTTAAGCAGTTTAATGTCAGTTTTAAAAACTGAGGGTACAGAGCACATGGAAAGTGACTCTGGGGGAAATTATTTCAAACTTTGAAAGGGTTGTCTGCATGGATTAAAGTATTGCTCACAGCATAGAGAAGTGTTGACCACTAATTTTAATCTCTAACTGAGTCAATCCTACTTGTAAAGAATTTCAGTAAACCACCAGCATTGAATGAAGAGCTATTGGCAGGGGTATTCTGTATCTGATTAACAACAGCATCAAACAGAAACTGTGGCTGATTTTTATTGATGTTAATAAGGTGAGACAAACATGCTGTCATAGCAGCTGAGAGTGCACGTTTATACTCCTCAAACTCAGAGACAAGAAGCATTTTCCATCACATCTGTGATGAGATATTTTTAATGTCAAAATTCATCCTCTCAGATTAGTTTCCATAAAATCCAGGACCTTTTTCCAGGCATCTTCCTGGGCAGCAGCGTGGGGTGCAGGGTGACCTCCCCACAGAGTGAACACTGCAGGAGAAACAAAGCAGGAAAGTGTTTGATTATTGTGATTATTTTTACTTTCCATTAGATTTACATACTTTCTATTACACTTGCTGGTCTGACATTAACAATGCAATCAAAACAGATGTTAAATGGAATTAGGCTGAACAAAAAATGCTGTGGGACAGGGCTCACTTTTAATTGGTTTGACACTCCAAAGCGACGCTTGTGAGTGTGGTGTGTAAGGTGGTTCAATCAGGTGACCAGCACCGGGGTACGACAAACGGGTGAACAGATGGGATTTTCCTGCAGCCTTCAGGGTCTCCTCGATCTGATGATCAATAAAACAGAGCTAAAACAACAACTAAACACTTTACAGTGAGCCAGTGGCACCCGAATAGAGGGCCAAGGGGGCCATGACCACCCCCTGGCCCTGACCCCACTAAACCCATAGCTAAGCAAACATGAAGTTAGTGGTATCTTGTGAAACTACACAAGCTAAGGCATCCATTGGTACCATAGCTTGAGGCTCAAGCATAAGGCTCAAAACTCAGGCAAAATTTTGGCAAGAGAAAAACTTACATTATGATTTTCAGAGGGGTCCTTTGAACTCTCACCTCAAGATATCGGAATGAAAATGGGTTTTATGGCTACCTATGAGTCTCCCATAAACTTGAGAAGGCTTGTTCCCAATAAATGTTTTGTCTCTTACTATCAACGTACTTTTTAAAAGTAAAGTAAAGACAACGAGCCTATTCAGTGAACAATAAATCACCGAACACAGGCGTGCACAGGTACGTAACACATCAAAATCGTTGTGGAACTCAAAACGTTAACCGTACCAGTATTAGTCTATGCACATTAGGAAATTAGTAATATTATCATGAAACAAAGCCTACAGTATGCGATTCCTTAATTCTCCTTATAAGGATATATATTGTTATAGCTTTAAACTAGCCTACATACTTAAACTATATACGCAATTGTCAATGCTGACACATTTTAAAAATCTGTGTCATTTACAACTAAAGTGAATGTGTTTTTGACTGCTCAAATGTTTGACTTACACCACATTTAAAAAAAAACAACAACACTATAAACAATATGGTTTACACCGACCATGTATCCAGGACTATTTTATAAATGTTTTTGAACATCAATAATAATTTAGACTTAAAAATCAATATAAGACAATCTACCACATCTGCGTTCTCCATGCTTGCAGTGCACAGGTCATCTTCACCCACTATGTACAGTAATGGACAGGAGAGGTGCTCTAACTGCAAAAAAAGAAAGAAAAGAAAAGACCCCCCCCCCTCCCCCCAAAAAAATGCACAAGATATCATTCTGGAGGGAAGGTTCTTTCATTGATATAAAATACTGATATGCATATTGACATATTGATTGAGTCCTCACCTTCACTTTGCTTTCAGGGTTAAGGTTTGCAGGCAAGGAGTTGTCTCTGAAATTCACATAGACTTGACCATCATACGTCCAATATTTCGGGTCTCTAAAATGACAAGTTAACAGAGACCAACCACATCTGTTTTTTGTTTTTTTCATAAGTGTTTGGGGAAATTTTTGAAAACAACCTCTGCGATACTCTTTTTTAAAATAATAAAGTCTGGATTATGTACCAGAAAAGCTATTAAAGCTATTTTACTAGCTCTCAATCGATAAGACATTAAATTAACATCAAACTATTAGTCTACAAGACTAAAACTAGTACTGTAGTTAATAGACTTCTCACTTGATACTAGACCCGATCAGATCAGACCAGACGGATCCTTGCAATAACCCCACAGTGATGTCATAACAGTAATATCCTACAAGTTGCATCTCTGATTACCATTTACCTATCAACGTCTACAGTCCTGCCATCTGGATCTGAGAGCTTGACGGTGCTTCCTACTGGGCCGCTGATACAAATCAAACAGGATGACTGGAAGGGAGAACAATAGTTGTTTAAAGTCAAAGTAAACTCACCAAAATCTCTATTCCTCGGCCTATACTATATATCTATGAACTCTCCACAATTTCTATGACTCTGCATATACTATATCTACAGTATTTTTATAGCTATTCATTCTAAAATTTTGATATTTCATGCACATGGAGCTATGCATTGATCAAACTGTTGATTTAAAAAAAGATGACAGAGACAGACCTTTCTGACATAATTTGACACCAGTCTGAGTGGCCAATCGAAGAGTCACGTAGACTCCATAGGAGAGACCGATGAGCCCAATTCTGTCGGCACAGACCTGACGATGATCTTGAAGGAGGTGGAATGCTGACTGTCAAAACAAAACAAAACACAAAGGATATTTTGAGGTGATGACGTAGTCATTAAAGTAAATCTGGGCTTTATTTAAGTGAGACGTGCACATGTTGCGGAGAGAATTAACGTAAACCCCTCACATCTTACTTTGAAATATGATTCACCAACATTGATTCTGCTTTGTGGACTTGGCAAATCTTTGTGATTAAAGAAGGCAAGGGACAAGCTAGCATAGCCCCTGGATGCAAAAAGTGCGGAGCGGTACTCCACCAGTCCTCCTCCCCTTCCCCACAAGTCCAGTACAGCTGGAAATGGGCCAGGGCCTACAGGAAATCAGTACAGTACTGTTCAGAGGATACAGTTTGTCCAGGGCAGTCTTAAAATGTGTGAGTGAATGCTTCAAATCTCGTGCTCACCAGGAGGTAAAAACAACGTCGCGACAACTCCATCCTGGCGAATCTCTTTTCTCTGTACACCAGGTGCCATGTACCAGCGCTCAGTAGTTACAGCAGCCAGCTCGGTGCTCTGTCTCTCACTGGGTGAAACGTGGCCCTTCATTAAGGACATGAGCACTACGTATGGAGTCTCTACATTTTTCTTTCTCAGCCTGTCAGAAAGAGCACATTTCAGTCAGGAAATGCAGCAATAACAGTAACAGGGTTGGCAGAGATGTTGAGCTTTGCAACAAGTGTATAGGACGACACACTTTCGGTTTTGATGCCAAAACTTTAAAAAAAAAAATCTTTAGCTCTCAGTGAGCTTGTTTTCACCACCTGCCTTAAACCTTCTCTTGAACCAGGAGCCAGCTGCAGTCCCCAGAACAGTCCCATCAGCTCACAGCCCAAATATGAACCCCCGACTGAATGATCCCTGGTCACTATTGAAGAGACAGAAAAAGAGGGGAGAAGATCAGCAGCTGCCTGCATAAACGTCTAAATGGTTCAAATAGTCTTATTTCTAAAAGTTGCCTTTACTATACACAGATTGATTCAATGCTAAAAGGGCAGTTGATCCCAAAATCAAAATCAATTGTGCTGGTGTGAGTTGCTGAGTGTTGGTGATGCCACAGAGATATCTGCCTTCCCTAGATTACAATGAACCTAGATGGCATTTGGCTTGTGGTACTTTATCAAAAACCTTTTGATAGGACCACTTCAAGACTTTCAAACTTGAAGAAAAGAACAATAATGTCTACCTGCCTCACATAATTTCATGTTGATGCAGTCACACACCAAAGACACAGCTGACAAACCACAAATGGAGGACGATGAGACTCCCTGCATCCCGCTAACAGTGGGCTATGGAATCTACCTAGAAAAAGTTCCTCAGTCAGGTTGAGTAGAACTCCTAAAGTTGCTTTTGCACTGCTACGTGGTTACTGCCCTGACATTGCTTACTTAGCATTTTTAAAAGCAGCTGTTGCTGCTATGGTCCACGGCTGCGAGAACATGCAGGTGATTTGGTGAACACTGGCAGAAGTACAAGCTAGTTTATAGCTGTGTACTATAACAAGACAGCAGAAATCACTGAAATTACCAAAGATTTATACAAGTCATTTGAAATTTGGTGGAAATATTATCCCAGGCTCAGGTTTGCTCAGGTTTGCTTCTGTTTGTCCTTCTATAACTCCAGGTACTCAGTCACTAACATTATCAGCTCCTCTATTTTGTCTTCTTTTGACCTCTGTGATGCCTGCTTTTGCCTGTTTGATCAGTCAAAGCCATGGGGCAACCACCAGAAGTTAAAGTTAAAGAGTTGAACAGGATTTCAGATTTATTAGACAGTCCACAAGTGAGAGTTGCCATTTTCAGTGCCACACCTCATGCACCACCAAGAGCAAAGAATCGCATACCTCTTAAAGTCACAGATATTACAAAAATATTCACAAAAATAATAAATATAAAAGGTACAAAATATAAAAAGCAGAGGTACTGCATACAGTACATATAACAAATCAAAGAAAACATAACAACTCAAATTCTTCATTTGTAGATTGATGTCTAACTGATCTCTACACACTATCATAACAACAACCTCCAGCTGGGAAGCCAACCAATTTCGTTCCCTCAGTGGAGTAATAAAGGGTGGACATTTTAAATGTTTTCACTGTATGTAATATTTACCGTGACCTGCATCCCTCCTAATGGGGACACTCTTTTTAAAGTATCAAAATTAGCATGAATAATGTTTAAAATAAGAGTTTTGGAGTTTATTTCCATGCGTGGGTCTGTTACCCAGGGTGTTGGCATCTGCCCCGAGATGAGCATAGGAGCCATAAAGAAAACTTTAGAGGTTAGATTCATTCATCACACATGATGGAGGCTCTTCTTTAAAGACACCTTAAGTAAAAATTATACAAGAAAATGCAAACATTTCATTAGTCTTGTTTAAATCTTCCATAATGATCTAAATGCTGTTAAGGTGATACTGGATGTTGAAAATGGTTAAAGGGACAGTTGCTGAGGGTTGGAGATATCGGCCATTGAGATGTCAGCCTTTTCTCGAATATAATGGAATTAGGTGGCACTCAGCTTGTGGTGGCATGTGTAATTAAATAAATACATAGATATTTCAAGCTTTCATCTTCTGCTAGCTCACCTAGCCCTACTAAGCTAGCGAATGGTACAGCTCAGCTGAGGAGGACGCCATTAATGTTTACTTCCTGTGCTGTCACAAGCCTCTCGTTCATGAGTAGATGCACGCTTCCTTCTGCGCATTGATACAATTGACAGGTGTAGTTCAGTGGAAATTAGTTCCTACATGAAATGGTGACAACAAGGTCTGTGGATTATCTTGAGTGAGTGGGTCATGATTGCTGTTGAGTTTTTCAGTTTTTCAATTTTGCTTTTTTGCTCCACAAGACGAGTGCCATCTAGTTACATTGTATTTGAAAGAAGGCAGGCATCTGTATGGCTGATATCGCCAACACTGGATAACTCACACAAAACAATTTAGATTGATAAATAGCACTACAGATAAAAGGAAAAATATGTAAAAATAAAAAATATGTATGTTTAATTAATTGTCCCTGTGACTTGTAACTTTTATTAACCATATTTTTAAGTGAGATGTGAACACTAAACTACCTGCAAAAAAAAGCTACAAAGTTGGCAGGGTTGTTTTCCAACATTTACTTGAACCCATTCTTTTTTACATTCTACAATGCCACTATTGTGTTTTCTTTAGAAACTGTTAACAAGTTAAAGGGCCAGTGTGTAATATTTGGCATGGTTTATTGTCAAATCTGAATCTGAATCTGAATATTCTACCCATTAATATGTTTATATAAGTGTATAATCGCTATAAT